CCTGATGAAGGTTTATGGGGAGCTTTTTCGCAGTCAGTCCATGCACATGAGGCCATAAGGCCCCCTGCAGGGGCCCCAGTTGTCACCAACATGGCAGCCTGGGACCCTGCAGACCCCAGGGCAGGAGTCTGGAGTGGTCAGAGGAGCAGACTATGGGGTGTGTGCTCAGGGAGTGGGTGAGCGGCAGGCCAGAGAATCCAAGGAGGGAGATGACCTTTGCCCCCTGAGGGAGGACATGGCTCAGGAGCCGACCCTGACAGCAGGGAGAAATAGGTTTGCAGGTCAAGCTTTTAAATTTATTGAATGCAAATACAGTTTTTTGGACCAGCCCTGTAGCCTAGTGGCTAAGGGAACCAGATCCCACAAGGACGAGACAACTGTTCAAATCTGGCCTCAGATGCTTGAAAAACACTCCATATGTGCGTGTGTGACGGGAGTCGGAGCAGGGAGTGCAGCATGACCGCGCTTTCTCCCTCGCTCTCCCTCTCTCCCTGTCCCTCTCTGGCAAGCACACAAGCCCTTTGCAATTAAAAAAAAAATCTTTATGGTTTCTAAGTTGTGCGTGTGGCTAGGTAGATTGTCATATGTCTAAGCAGGACTGACACAGGGCTGAGGGACACAGAGACGGAGTGGGGACAGAGGGCCACGTGCCCAGCAGGAGATAAGGATGAGGCAGCATAGGTAAAGCAAGGGGAGCTGCAGGGCCAGGCCGGTGCTGACGGGAGCGGCGCCCCACTCTGATAGCTGAGCCGCCGGGGCAGGGCTGGCCTCTGAGCCCGGGTCTCCCTACTGTGCGTGGAGATGCGGCCCTTTCTCGCCTGGTGACCACACTTCTAGAATGTGCCAGCAGCCCAGAGTGGGGCCCGATGTTGGAGGAAGTGGCAGGCACTGACGGCCTCCCCTCCCCCAGTACGAGAATCAGGCCAAGTATAAAGACCAGTGGGGACAGCAGGGGCTGTATCGCTGCCCCAACTTCTCGGACGTCACGGGGCAAAAGTCTGTCCCCAAAACAGATTTCAAGGTGCCCGTGGGATGGCACTGGCAGGACAGCTGGAGAGTGGAGCCCCAGAGGAGGTAAGACTGGGGGCAGGCCCCGAAGCCCTGTGCCTAGGGATGCCCAGGGAAGCTGACACTTCTCTTCACACGGGAGGGCCAGTCTACACAACCGGAGGGATGGCCACTGAGCCTGTGGGCTGGGGCACACACAACAGACGGCCCCGCCACCTGCCCTGCACTCCAGGTCCTGCCTTGCTCAGAGCACGTGGGGATGCCAGGGAGGGGCGCCTGGCCAGTAGAGGACAAGCCAGGGGCCTGCAAGTTCAGGGAGAGGTCTGGGAACGTGGGGTCTCGCTGCCCCCAGACTCCTCCTGGACACGGACATCAACAAGAGCCAAGTGCTGGAGGAGGTGTACGAGAACCAGGTCCGCAACGCTGCAGGCGCCTGGGTGCCCGCCGCCACCCCCAACACAGACGTGGTGAGCAGGGGAGGTGGCAGCCCGGAAGTGGGGGCGTTGTGGTGGAAAGGTCTGAGCCCTGCGGCAGCCCTCAGGCCCTCTCCCTGCAAGGGGTGGGGTTGATTCCAGAGACACCTTAATTAAGACCATCAGAAACAACTCTGCTCCCATGTGGCTGACCATACGTGAGCCCTGGACCCAGCGGCTTAAGAAACACATCAGGTAGAGACCAGCTGATGGCGTAAAAGTTACATCATTGGACTCCCACATAGCTAACTATTGTTCGAGTCCCGGACCTGGTGGCTTGAAGCTCGCGCCAGGCGTGTGTGTGTGCGTGCCCAAAATCCTGAGAAGAGAATGGAGAAGGGATTGTGGTATGGCCAACCCCCCAGGGGGTGAGTTCTCACTTTGTCTTGCTTTTTCTCTCTCTCCTGTGAATACACAATGCCTTTTGGCAAAAGATTTTTTAAAAAGAAAGGAAGAAAGAAAATAAAAAGAACAACATACCCAGAATGTGTGCATGCCTGCCCCAAATCTCACCCAATGATAGAGAGCTCGTACGTGCACACGAGAGAGAGATGGGGAGAGAGGAAGGCTCCATGACAGGTTCCTGTCACACCACAGCGCTCCCGTCCTCTGGCTCGAGGATCCTGGGTGTCCTTGTGTTCTCAGGCAGACCCAGGGCCAACACCCTGGTGGCTTGCTTTCTCATTTCCCTCTCCCTCTCTGGTCAAATTAAACAATGATGATAATAAAAATTAAATAATTCTTAAGAAAATAGAAAGCATGCAAATGAACGTTCAGGTGGTTTCCGACACAGCAAGCGCTGTCCGGTCCGGGGCGGAGGCCACTGCAGGCATGGAAGGAGGCGCTGCAGGCATGGAAGCAGGCGCTGGGAAGAGCGAGGAAAGGTGCCGCCTTCTAGCTCACGCACCCCTCACGCCCTCTCTGCCCACCCACAGAACGGGGAGCCTGTGGAGGCCCGGGAGAATGTGAAGTGCCCCCAAGGCTGGCACTTTAAGAAGAACTGGATCGCAGAGCTGAACCACGCGGTGGACAGTGAGGGTCAGTTCTCTGGTCAGGGCCGAGGGCCGAGGGCCTGTACACACTGCAGCTGCCAGGGGCCGCTCCAGCAGGCAGGGGTGCTGGCACTTCCGATAGTTTCACAGCAGCCACGCTGTGGGGTGGGATGAGCCTGGGGGACCCCCAGGCCCCAGAGAGCTCTCCCCCTCTCCATAGATTCAGATCCTCATTGAGACAACATAGACATTGTCCCTCCTGAGGCCTGGCCCAGAGCGAGGCTCAGCGCCTGTGAGTGCTGCTCCAGCTGCGGAGCCTGAACCCTCCCAGGGTTGCAGCAGAGCAGGAGCAATGGGCTGCAGGTCGGAACACCTTGAGCCCAGGTGTTCCGACCTGTTCTCAATCTTTACTGCCTGCAGGCTGTGTGGACTTGTGGGAGTCATAGGGCGTCTCTGAGCCTCACTCCTCATCTGTAGAATGGGCAGCTGGACCCAGGGGACACAATGTGACCTTTCCGCACCTCAGGGCCAGAGAGGCCCGTACCAGGGAGAGCCCTGCCCACTGAGCTAGCACCTTTAGGGACCATCCCTCAGGCCTGCCCGAGCCTCAGCCTGCAGGCTCCTGGGGACCAGAGCCGCCGTCCTGTCCCTGCAGGCTGGGAGTACGGAGTGGGGATCCCACCCTCCGGCCTGCCCCACGTCTGGAGCTCAGTGGAGAAGACCTACCATTCGTGCCGCCGGCGGCGCTGGGTGCGTGTGCGCTTCCGGAACCACACGGAGCTGAGCAAGGAGCAGGAGACCCTCTCCTTCCTGCAGCTGGTGAGAGCTGTGGGCAGGGGCCCTGGCCTGACCCCAGGTGGGGCACCTCGGGCTTCAGTGGGACACGACTGCTTTCCTCCTGGCAGCAAGGCCCCGACCTGGCCAAGGAGGAGGGCTGGGAGTACGGCACCTTCGGCTCCAAGTTCCACCTAGACCCTCAGCCCCAGAGCCGGTTCCGTCGCCGCTGCTGGCACCGCAGGCTGGCCCCCAACAAGGACAAGGGCGTGGCACCCATATTCCTCCTGGAGGGATCCCTGGTAAAGCCGCAGAGGACAAGGGGGCTCCTGCCTACACCCCACCTCCCAGAGCAGCTGGGGCCTGGCCTGGGCAGGGCAGAGTCAGAGGTGCCCATGCGGGGCCCTGGCTGCGGGCCCTCTCCATCCGGGGGAGGAGGGCGGCCAGCTCAGCTAGAGGAGACAGAGACGCACCCCAGAGTCTGAGGGGAGACCGTGTGGGCGCAGGCTATGGATCTAAAACAGCAAACCAAGAAGGAAGAGGACAGCAAGTCGTGGCGACGGTCCATCGGGGAATCTTGGAAGCGGGCCCCAGAGGACACCCGGCCCCCCCCCATGCCCTTCATCTACTACACCTTCGACAGTGAGCCCCGAACTGGCGGTCTGCTTGGGCGGCCCCAGAGGCTGGTAACTGAGGGCGGGGAGCCCCAGGCAGCCCGTGGGGACCTGGGGTGCTGACGAATGCGGCTTCTCTGTCCAGAGCCCCACTACTACCAGCTCTTCTGCTACATCTACCAGGCCCGGGACCTGACGTCCAGCCAGAGCCCGGCGTTCCAGGGTAGGCGGCAGCAGCCTTCCCCCAGGGCTGGTAATGTGGCCCAGGGCAGTCTGGAGACGGGGAAGGCCCAGCTGCTGTGGCACAGCAGAAACACAAGTACCGCAGGGCAGGGAGGCAAATGGAGACCACGGGTTCGAGTCCCTAGGTCTGCCTGAGAACACACGCGATGCCCAATACCCGGAGGAACCAGAGGGCTGGGACGGGAGCATCGTAGTGTGACAGGACCTGCCACGGGTGCTTTTCTCTCTCCCCGTCTCTCTCCTGTGTGCATATACAGGCTCTCTTTCATTGGGGAAAAATGTATAGCACTAGTGAGATTTGGGGCAGGCACACACACATTCTGGGTATGTTGTTCTTTTTCTTTTCTTTCTTTCTTAAAAATTTTTCGCCAAAAGGTATGCGTACTCACTGGAGAGAGAGACAGAGAGACAGAAAATGAGGAAGCGTCTCCCCGTGGGGCATGGTCACGCTCAATCCCATCTCCTCCATCTCTCTTCCTTTTGGAATTTTAGGCTTGTTAGCACAAGCGCCCAGCGGCACGCTAGTCCAGGACTTAAACCCATGTGGGATCCAGCCACTTTAACCACCACGCCACCAGCTGGCCTGATTTTTTTTAAGAATTATTTATTTTTATTTATGATGATTATTATATTTAATTTGCTATGGGGCACATACACTCACCAGAGAGAGAGAAGGAAAGTGAGAGAGCAAGGCTCCAGGTCCAGGACTTGAATCACAGTCGGCCATGAGGGACTCTGGGACACTAACCACCACAGTGCCACCAGTTTTGTTTTTTAATACATGAATTTTCTTTACTGTGTTTTATCATATAATTACAGGAGAAATGAAATCAAAGTCTTTTTTTCTTTTTCAGAGAGAGATTTTTGCTATAGAGTGTGTGTGCTCGCTGGAGAGACAAAGACTGAAAGTGAGAAATCGCCCCCCAGGGGGATGGCCATGCTTGCAATCCCTTCTTCTCTATTCTCTTCTCGGGATTTGGGGCACACACACACACATGCACCCAGCATGACTTTTAAGTTGCTGGGTCCAGGACTTGAACTGTGGTCGACTACATAGGAGTCTGGTGACATAACCATCATGCCATGTGCTGATCCCGAAATAGAAGTCCTTGTTAGTAGAATAACTCTTCTAACTTCTCTTCATTCATCAGTTGACCAGTTTAATTTCTGATTCCTTTTTTATCGGCCAGAGAGAGAAACAACGCCCTCCCAGAGGAGCGTGGCAGTGCCAGAACCCCTTCATGCCCATTGCTTTATTTAGTGAGGGTTGGGGGCACATCTGCACTTGCGCCTGGGGTGTTCTCCAAGCATCTGGGCTGGGACGGGGCCGCGGTTGCCCGTGTGGGATCTGGCTCTCTGTGCAGAGCACCTAAGGGCTGCACTACCGGCATGGCCCCAGGGTCTTGATTTCTTTTCTCCTCTTCTATCTTTGAGTCACAGGAGAGAACACAGCTAGAAAGTTGTTGACTTAGCCACTACAATTTTGACTATTGGGAAATGATAAGATCCCTGGTATCCACATTTTTTTAATATTGAATTTTATTCATGGTCGTTATTTAATTTTTTTCAAAGTAGACCAGAGACAGAGAGAGAGAAAGAAAGTGAGACAGCAAATTGCCAGGTTCAAGACTCAAACCACGGCCAGCCACGTGGGAATGCAGCTGCCTCAACCACCATGCCACCTGCTGGCCCCCAGTATCCACTTCTAACCCCACCTTCCTGCTTCCAAATGCCTAGCGATGATGAGAATCCCTAATTGCAGCCTCAAAGCCCCCAAAGACGTCTCAGACACATCTAAATAAGTGTATTTGTCTAGCGTGTGAAAGAGGCCTTAGTCCTAGAAAGCCCCAGGTTTGTTCTTTTTGCTCTCCAGAAAGGGCAGGAGGTTTAAGTGGACTCGAGGGCCAAGCTCAGGTGGTGCTGCTGAGACACGGGTCTGTAGGGACCACATGGGAACCAGGATTCAGATCTCCGGCTAGCCTAGGTGCTACGTGGTCACATATCCCTGTGACTTGGGGAAGCCAAGAGAGGACGGTCCAGGCTGGCCTGGGCAACATAGCAGGCTCTTGTGCCAGGCATGGTGGCACAAGCCTGCAGTCCTAGCTGGAAGGCTGGGGGAGGAGGTCGACAGCAGCAGAAATAAAATAAAGTAAAATAAAAATTAGGGCTAGTTGATGGTGATTAAAGCAGCTGGATCCCACATGGCTGACTGCAAGGTTCAAGTCCCAGACCAGGTGGCTTGAAAAACACGCTGGGAAGTTAAATAATTCTTTAAAAAAATGGTGGGAGGGGGCGGCAGGTGGCATGGTGATTAAGGGCGCTGAACTCTCACGTGGCCAACTGAGGTTTGAGTCCCAGACCCGGCATCTTGTTTTCTCACTTTCTCTCTCTCTCTGTCCCTCTTCGGTCAAATTAAAATAAATAAATAAAATAAAGTTAAATAAAATAATTCTTTACAAAAAAGAAAAGAAAAACATGATGGGCACACGTGTCTGCGTGTTCAAGATCCCTAGAGGAGTATGGAGAAGAAGGGATTGCAGCATGGCCATCCCCCCACGCCCCCTTTTTAAAAAAGTTTCTTTCTTCCGTGAGAAAGAGAGAGAGATGGGAACAAGCACCCTTAACAGGGTCTCAGGCTCCATTCCGCCCCGAGCCTTGCCAGCCAGCCAGCAGCGTGGGCGCACGAGCACTGGTCATGCGAGCCAGCCTGCGCTCCAAACCCTGATCTTCCCTGTGGCTCCAGCATGGCCGAGATGCGCCACCATGTGCTGCAGCAGAGGGTCAAGAACAGCGTCACTTGACCACTTGAAGACGCGATCTTCTCCTCTCCTTCTGCCCCCCAGGGCCCTTCATCCGGGTGGTTTTCCTGAACCACAGCCAGCGCACCCAAATGCTGGGGAGCTCCGCAGCCCCTACCTGGGCCCAGACACTCATCTTCCAGCACCTCCTCCTGTACGAGAACCCCGAGGACACCAGGGCCAGCCCGCCGCTCGTGGTGCTGGAGCTGTGGCAGCAGGACTCCTGGGTAGGACCGCGGGGCTGGGCTGGAGGGAGGGGCTGCCTCGAGGAGGTGCTGAGCAGGGTATATCCAGGGGAAGACATCTAGAAAGTGCTTCCACGAGGCCGATGTGCAGAGAGCACTGTGCAAACATGAATGGCGGCTGTCAGCCTGTCCTCAAAACCAGCAAGGGCCAGAACCCTGCCAGCCTGGCTGCCATGACCTGTGAACCCGCAGGGCAAGGAGAGCTTGTGGGGACGGAGCATGTGGCCCCCGCTGGTCTGGCTGGATCTCCAAGACAGGAGCCTGCGCCCCATGAGGTGGCACCCCCTTGTCAGAGAGCTGGGGGAGGAAGAGGGCGAGATCTTGGCATCCTGTGAGCTGATCCTCGAGACTGAGGTACTGGGAGAGGGCTGGGAGTGCAGTGGTCAGTGCCCCCCAACTTGTCCTGCCCCGGCCGTAAGTTTCCACAGCCACGAGGTCCAATGCCACACCCTGGAGAGGCCTGGGGCCTAGAAACCAGAACTCTGGGCTTGGTGGTGCTGGCCTGCCGACCTCGCCCCGAACTGCCCTGCCAGCTCCTACCCTTGGGGAGCTGGGGCCTCCTCACTTGCCCCTTCTGAGGGACCTGCTTCAATTCAGGGTGAGGACAGTAGGGCCAGCGCAGAGGGACCGCATGCTCCCTGCTCTCCCACCTCACCCCTGTAGAAGCTGAGAGAGAAGCACATGCCAATCCTGAGCGTCCCCTGGAAGAATGGGATCTGCACGCTGCCCAAGAGCATCCAGCCCACACTGAGGAAGACGGCCATCGAGGTGCCCAGGGCGCAGGCAGGGGGCGGGGGACGGGGCGGGCAGGCGGGCAAGCAGCGCCAGAGCAGCCTGAGGCTCCCTGCTGAGACTTCCAGACTCCCTGAGCTGAAGCTCAGACCCCAGTTAGACACTCTCTGGGAGATGGCGGGGGAAGGGGAAGAACAAGGAGCAATGAGGAGCAGACGCAGCCGTGACGCCGTGAAGCAGTCACTGTGTGTTGGAGCGCAGCCTTGCGGGAGTCCCGCACTGTCCTTGTGCAGCAGGGGAGGAAACGGCAGCCCTGCGAGACATCGCATCCCATGCACAGTGACGCAGAGAGTGGGCGACAGAGCCAGAAGTGAGGCCCGACTCCAGATGCCAGGGCCTTTCTCATCTCTCTCTTTTTTTTGAGAGGTTTTCGCTATAGGGCGCGTGCACTTGCCAGACAGACACAGAGAGACAGAAAGTGAGAAAACAACCATAGGGGCAATACCACGAACGAAGTGAGGCCCGACTCCAGATGCCAGGGCCTTTCTCATCTCTCTCTTTTTTTTGAGAGGTTTTCGCTATAGGGCGCGTGCACTTGCCAGACAGACACAGAGAGACAGAAAGCGAGAAATCACCCCTGGGGGTATTGCTACGCCACAATCCCTTCTCCTCCACTCTCCTCTCAGGATGTTGGGCACGCACGCACACGCACCTGGCATGAGTTTAAGCCACCAGGTCTGGGACTCAAACCACGGTCGACTACATGGGAGTCCAGCGACATAGCCATTACACTAACTGCTGGTCCCTCTCACCTCTCTGAGAGTAGTGTGGTGGTCCCACATTGGTGACTACGTGACCTACCACAAACGTGGTCAAGAGCAGAAGGTGGTCAGCTGCTCTGGGGACTGGCGGCTTCCTCAGGACCAGGCAACCTGGCCGTCTGTGCTCTCGACCCTCAGGAGTGGGGGTCTGGGCCTTTCCCGGGGTGCCCAGTGTCTGCCAGTGGAGTCCTTTGGTGAACTAGATGGCAGAAGGAAGCCCTGAGAGACCTGCAGCCCTGCTCCTGGGGCCTCAGAGGCAGCCTGTCTCGGGGAGTCCCACCTGAGAGCCAGTGAGAGCTGACGGGCGGCCGTGAGGAAGGGCACCGGAGGCCCGCAGAGGACAGCGTCTGTGCAGTGGGCAGAGGGCACCTCCTGCGTGGGAACGGAGAACAGGACCGTCCAGACTTGGAGGCCTGAGCAAGCCTCCACTCTGGCTTTTTCGTGCAAACCTGCATGCTCCCCATCCACACCATTCCCAGGGTGGCCCCTCTGGCGGGATCCCGTGGAGTAACTGCTTGTCCACTGCCTGGCCTTCCTTCTTGTTTCCAGCAGGTCCTGGCCTGGGGCCTCCGGAACATGAAGGTGGCGAGCTCCCCGCAGCTCCTGGTGGAGTGTGGGGAAGAGACCCTGAGGACTGAACCCATCAGGGACTTCCAGACCAATCCCAACTTCCCCGAGCCCACCCTCTTCTTCACGGTGGTAAGAGGCCCTGGGGCGAGTCCTGGGGCAGGCCTCTCCCCACGGGCACCTCATGCTTCCCGTCCCCGGGCTACAGTTCATGCCTACAGAGGAGGCCTACGCACTGCCCCTGGTGCTGAAGGTGGAGGACAACTGGTACTTCGGCCGGAGGACCGTGGTGGGCCAGGCCAGGGTGGACTTCCTGCAGCCCTACTTCTGTGACCCCTGGGCTCAGCACTACGTGGTCCCGCGGCCTCCAGGCATGGCCCTTCCCCTGCCACCAGCAAGCCCGGGGTGGGGCTGGCATCCTCCTGGCCTCCCTCCATCCTGAGGCTCACGTGCACTCTCTCCACACAGTGCTGTCCATCAAGAAGCGGCAGCACGTGAGTGAGGGCTTGGGGCCCGCCCTGTCCCCTGTTATTTACAGAAACAACCCTTGCCCCTTGGGGGGGAGGGTGTCATGTCTGTGCCCACGTGAGGGTGCCAAAGCAGTGGTTCTCAGCCTGGACAGCATTTAGAATTACCTGAGTTTTGTTTTTTGTTTTGTTATAGAGCATGCATGCTCACCAGAGAGAGACAGAGACAAAGAGAGAAAGTAAGAAATCACCCCGTAGGAGGGATGGCCATACCACAATCCCTTCTCCATTCTCCTCTTGGGATTTTGGACATACATGCACATGCACCTGGCATGATTTTCAAGCCACCAGGTCTGGAATTTGAACAGTGTAGTTGGCCATGTAGGATCCAGTGCCTTAAACACCATACCACCTGCTGGCCCAAGAGTTTTTTGTGTTTTCTTTTAGAGAGATTTTTGCTATAGGGCATGTGCTCTCACCAGAGATACAGAGAGAGAAAGTGAGAAGTCACCTACCTGGGGATAGCTGCACCGCGATCCTTCTCCATTCCCCTCCCGAGATTTTGGGCACGCACGCACATGCTTGGTGTGAGTTTCAAGCCACTGAGTCTGGGACTCCAACTGCCATGGGCCATGTGGGAGTCCAGCACCTTAACCACTATGCCACCTGCTGGCCTCAACAGTTCTTTTTCTTTAAAACACACACACACACACACACACAAACTCCAGAGACCGGGCCACTGACCACATCCACCTACACTGCTGCAGCGAGGACCCAGGCAGAGGGTTTTCCGAGCCCCTGCTCCTGTGAGCTGCGTGTTTTCTTTTCTTTCCTTTTTTTTTTTTTTGGAGGGGTTTTTGCTATAGGGCGCATGTGCTCACCAGAAAGACAGAGACAGACAGAGAGAAACAGAATGCAAGAAGTCATCCCCCAGGGGGACGGCACGAAGCAATCCCTTCTCCTTCATTCTCCTCTTGAGATCCTGGGCATGCACACACATGCACCTGGCATGAGTTTAAGCCACCGGGTCTGGGACTCGAACCGTGGTTGATCACATGCGAGTCCAGCGACATAGCCATTACACCAACTACTGGTCCCCACATACCACTTTTTAAGGGGGCTGGGGAGAGGACCTGTGTGAGTAAGTTGATCATTAAAACAGCTCACTCATGAAAACCTAAGCGCGTGTGTACTAGGAGCAAGGACAACCACCTGTATGACCTCAATACCCTTACCACAACCAAGAACACGAACAACATCAGATATATGAGGGCTCTTCAAAAGGTTCACGCAGAATGCTTATTAGGAAAAAACTATGCATGGATTTTCAAAAACTTTTTGCACCAAAATGAACTGGTATTTCTGTAGGGTGCTCCCTGAGAGACATAAAGTGAGAAATCACCCCGAGAAATCACCCCCACCGGCCAATGGCCACATCACAATCCCTTATCCTCCACTCTCCTGAAATTTTGGGCACACACACACACACACACGTGCCCCGTGTAAGGTTCAAGCTGCTGGGTCTGGGACACGAACCACAGTCTGCCATGTTGGAGTCCAGCACTTTGACCACTGCACCGCCTGCTGGCCATAAACTGCTATTTCAGCTCCATTTTTCCATGAAGTTGTTGAAGCCCCCCTTTGTCTAGTTTAGTTGTTCCAATTCTCATCAGGAATAATCCCAGTTGCCCCAAAAATGACTTTTTTTTTCTTTTGCATTTTTTTGGAGAGGTTTTTGTTATAGGGTGTGTGTGCTCGTCAGAGAGAGACAGAAAGCGAGAAATCACTCCCCAGGGGTGATGTCCACACCGCTATCTCTTCTCCTTCACTCTCCTCTTGGGATCTTGGGCATGCATGCACACATGCCTGGGGTGAATTTAAGCCACCAGGTCCAGGACTCAAACCGCACTCGACTACATGGGAGTCCAGCAACATAACCATTACGCCATCTGCTGGTCCCGATCCAGTGTGCTTTTAAGGTTCAGAACTGCTGCTTAGAGCAGCACTTGAACCTGAAAGTACAGTGATCCTCCAGACATTCTGCTCGAAAGCAGATTCTGGGGACCAGCAGATGGTTTATTGAACTCCCACCCACATAGTTGACTGCGGTTCGAGTCCCAGACACGGTAGTTTAAAACACACTGGTGCGCGTGTGTGCATGCTCAAAATCCTGAGAGGAGAATGGAGGAGAAGGGATGGGGGGGGGTGTGATTTCTTGCTTTCTCTCTCTCTTTCCAGCCAGCAAACATGCTCTATAGCAAAAATCTCTGTTAAAAAGAAAAAAAAGGAGCAGATTCTGGTTCCATAGGTCAGAGTAGGGCTGAAGGATCTGCATTTCGGAGCCCCTTCCAGAGTCCAGCCTGGGCAGTGAAGACTAAGAACTGTGCGAGATTGCTCTCTCGTCCCCAGTCCTATGTCTGAAAACCCCAGAATTAAAATGAAAGCCCCGTGGGAAGGCCAAGGAGCCGGGGAATCGAGCCCCAGCCTCGACCTCCTCTCCCTCCTTGGACACTGGGGCATGAGCAAGCTCTGGGCTGCTGGCCTCACCTTGCTCCCCTCATTTCAGTTCCTAGGGTACTTCTACGAAAAGTTCTGGTACAAGTCCACCAAAACCGAGGTGATGTAGAATCAGCCCTGGGGAGCGTGGAGCAAGCCCCGGCAGTTCAGGGAGGTGGGGCTTCCCCTGCCGGGAGGCCAGAACAACCCTGTTCTCCGCCAGGAGGAATACGAGCACGAGGTGGATTGGTGGAGCAAGCTGTTCTGGGCCACGGGGGATGAGCACAAGTCCCTGAAGTACAAGTACAGAGACTACCACACCATAAAGGTCTGAGGCCCCTGCGAGGGCAGGAGCTGGGGAGGCACCAGCAGGTCTCACTTCCAGTCCTCTGGGAGCTAGAAGTGGTGGAGTGTCCACGCTGTCCCTCAACATCCCTGTCCAGTACTGTCCCTGGGGCCGCTGTCTGGGCAGACAGTTTGGAGCAAGACCTGGCTGGTGCCCCCCCAATCCCAGGAGCAGTGCCCCCTAGCCTGGGTCCCCACACCCTCCTGCAGGTGTATGACTGCGAGCTGGAGGCTGTGCCTGCCTTCCAAGGCCTGCAGGACTTCTGCCAGACCTTCAAGCTCTACCAGGAGCAGCCCAGGCTGGACAGCCCCGTGGTGGGCGAATTCAAGGTATGCGTGCACCCCAGCTCAGCTCCTAATCTCCCCATACCTTCGGTCCCCCAAAGATTAATAGCATCCCTGCTCATTGGAGGAAGGGGCAGGGAAGGCTTGAGAAGGTTCTGGGAATCAGGGAGGTTAGGCTACGCAGGGGAGACCGACCCTCACACTGGAAGGGGGAGGACGCCAGCACACCCACCTGACCTGTGCTGGTCTCAGTCCCTGCCACCCTTACCCAACCCTCTCTCCACGGCACCTCCTTTACGGGAGCCGGGCCCACAATACCCCCCTTCTCCACAGGGTCTCTTCCGCATCTACCCTTTTCCTGAGAACCCGGATGCCGCAAAGCCCCCACGCCAGTTCTCAGTTTGGCCTGACAGAGAGGACTTCCCTCAGTCGTGCCTGGTGCGGGTGTACGTGGTACGAGCCATCAACCTGCAGCCCCAGGACTACAACGGCCTGGTACGGGGCAGCCCCCAGCCCAGGGAGGCGCTCCCCACACCTGTGCTCAACCCCACCCTCCTGGAGCCCGCTCCGGCTCCTGACACACTCCCATTGCCCATGGCTCCAGCCCTCCTGCCTCACTCCCCGGTCTCCTGGGCTGACCACTGCCCGACCTTCCCTGGCTTCCGTCTGACCCCTAGTGTGACCCGTACGTGGTCCTGAAACTGGGGCAGATGACGCTCGGCAACCGGGACGTGTACCAGCCCAACACCGTGGATCCCGTCTTTGGCATGTGAGCTGCCCCTGCCCACCTGACCCCACCGCTCCACTCCCATCCACACCACGCAGGGAGTCGGCTCCGGAAGGCAGAGAACTCTGGCATCCCTTTCCAGCCTCAGAGACAAAAGGAGGCGTGGTCCATTTTACCCTCTGTCACTCTGCGGGAAGGCGCGTCCCCGGGCCTATGGAAGGTCATCCACGGGGGTGGCTGCAGGCGGACAGCAGCCTTTCCTAGCCCGCTATCCACATTCGCCGTGAATGAACGAGCTGGACTAGCAGGGGCCCGGTGGCAAGGGGGCGACGGGCATAGCCAGGCCCGCAGCCTCCGGCGTCTCCAACCCCCGCCCCCCTAGGCTGTTCGAGCTCACCTGCAACATCCCCCTGGAGAAGGACCTAGAGGTCCAGCTCTACGACTTCGACCTGCTTTCCCCTGATGACAAGATCGGCACGACAGTCATCGACCTAGAAAACCGGCTCCTGTCTGGCTTTGGGGCTCGCTGTGGGCTCTCCAAATCCTACTGCCAGTGAGAGCCGGCCTGGCCAGGGCGAGGGCAGGAGTGCACCCACAGCGCCCTGGGGGGTGTGGGGGGGACCCGATCTGCCCGTCTCCACCCATACTCCACCCAGGGCACCCTGGAGCTCAGAGCGGTGCTCCAGGTCCCTTCTCAGACTCTCACACATCCCCCAGGTCAGGGCCCTTCAAGTGGCGGGACCAGATGCCCCCAAGCTACCTCCTGGACCGCTACGCCAAGCGGAAGGGGCTGCCTCCGCCTGTGTTCAATGCCGACGAGGACTCCGTTTTTTACAACGGGAGAACATTCAGGCTGAAAAGCTTTGGTGAGAAGCACAGCCCCCCACCAGAAGGCACAGGCCCAGGCCTCTGGAACCTTCCAGGATGAAGAGCTACAGATGGAGAGCAGAAGGGGGGACAAGGAGAGGTCTCCCCCAGCTAGAGGCAGCCCATCTTTTTCTCCTTCCCTGCTGTGGAAGGCAACAGTGTCCACAATCAGGAGGGTGGGGGCCTGCCTGGGAAACGGGAGGGACCCTGACCTGCCTCCACCGCCCTCCATTCCAGAGCCCAAGACCCCTAACATTCACGGCCTAGGCTCTAAGAAGGAACGTCTTGCCCTGTACATCCTGAACACCCAGAGGCTGGTACCTGAGCACGTGGAGACCCGCACGCTGTACAGCGACAGCCAGCCGGGCATCGACCAGGTGTGACGCTGGGCCGCTTCCCCCTCCTATTGAAGGGGCTGGTCAGAAGACAGGGTGTCCATTCACCCACGTGACAAGCGGGAGGAACAGGCCAAGCCTTTGGGGAGATACAGGCACAGAAGGCCAGCATGTACTGCTCACGTCCATAAACAAGACCTACAGAGACGTCACTTAGAATGGGGGATGTCAGAGCTGGACAGCCCCTTTAAGAAAACTAGGCCAGGGGACCAGCAGTTAGCGCAACGGCGATGTCCCATTTAGTCGACCGTGGTTCGCACCCCGGACCCGGTGGCTTAAAACTCATGCCGGGCGCGTGTGCCCGAGAGGAGAATGGAGGAGAAGGGATTGCGGCGTGGTCATCCCTCCTGGGGGGTGATTTCTGGCTTTCCGTCTCTCTGTCTCTGTCTGTGTGGTGAGCACACGCACCCTATAGCAAAAACCTTTTGAAAAGAAAAGAGAAAAGAAAAAGAAGAGAAAAGAAAACCAGGCCAGGGAGCAGCAGCTGGCGTAATGGCTATGTCACTGAACTCCCATGTAGTCAACCATGGTTCAAGTCCCGGACCCAGTAGCTTAAGCTCATGCCGGGTACATGTGCATGCGTGCCCAAGATCCTGAGAGAATGGAGGAGAAGGGATTGAGGCGTGGCCATCCCCCCGGAGGGGTGATTTCTCGCTTTCTGTCTCTCTGTGTCTCTCTCTCTGTCTGGCGAGCGCACACGCCCTATAGCAAAAACCTCTTCAAAAAAAAAAAAAAAAAAGAAAGAAAGAAAGAAAGAAAAAGAAAGAAAGAAAACCAGGCCAGGGAGCAGCAGCTGGCGTAATGGCTATGTCACTGGACTCCCATGTAGTCAACCATGGTTCGAGTCCTGGACCCGGTGGCTTAAACTCATGCCGGGTGCGTGTGCATGCGTGCCTAAGATCCTGAGAGGAGAATGGAGAAGGGATTGCGGCGTGGCCATCCCCCCTGGGGGGGGTGATTTCTCATTTTCTGTCTCTGTCTTTCTGGTGAGCACACACACCCTATAGCAAAAACCTCTCCAAAAAAATAAATAAGAGAAACCCAGGCCGTGCTCTCCTGGGAGCTTCCTTTCCCTGAACCCCCTCCACTGTGGGAAGCCACCACAAGCCCCACCAGCCAACACCTCCGTTGCCCCTAGTCTCCCCTGAGGGGTGGGGAGGTCTGACCTGCACCGCAGGTCAGACTCAGACGGTGCAGACATTACAACCTCGGTTCTGGCTGTTAATTGTAGGCTGTGTTTTCTCCATACCAAGGAATCCCCAACAGAGGAATAAAAATCCTCAAAGGCACCCTAATTATCGTCACCCTGCAGCCACCATAATGGCTCATCTCACCCTCCAGCTTCCCCGAGCTGACACCACATTCGAGACACGCACCTCTGCTGTGCATTTGTAAGCCATTCTCCTCAAACTGGTTTTCTTGAACAGAGTCGATCTGAGCCACGGCTGTTTACCTGTTTTCCAGTTTTGTTTGTTCTGCCCTCTCACTTCTCGCCACCTTCAGGTCTTCGTAGATCTCTGTGTTCAGTGGCAAGTTTCCGCTTCGTGTGGTCATGGACATACAGTGACCTGGAAATGTGGACTGATCCCCCTTGTTCCCCCTTCCTAAGGGCTTCTCAGCCAATCCCATTCTGGAGCCCTGCCCAGACAGGCCGGCCAGCAGGCCCTGCTGCCTGCCCTTAGCTCTCCAGACCTCAGTCGTAGGTGAAATCCCGGCACCACGCCATCGAAGCCATCACACCCCAACCTCACTGCTCTGTTCTCCTGGGGCAGCGGTGGGTGGTCGCCTCGGCCCTCACCCTCAGTGCTGGAACACACAAAGACCTCAGAAGCTGGGGCAGGGCCCAGAGGCCAGCCTGCTGGGGACAGAGGCTAACCACCCCTGACCAGTTCATCCGTCCTGGCTCTAGGGAAAGGTACAAATGTGGGTGGACATCTTCCCCACGAAGCTGGGGCCTCCTGGCCCCCCGGTCAACATCAGCCCTAGAAAGCCGAAACGGTGAGTGACAGCCTGCCTCCCCACGGCTGCCTTGCGTTTAGTCTCCCTGGGGGCAGAGTGCCACTGTCCTCAAACGCCGACTTGCCATGCTTTCCTCTGTTGGGAGAAGAGGAAGTTCTCCGGGGAGCTTTCTCCCCGAGCCCCCCAAGTCCAGCCAGAACATGGAGGGCAGCATCCCAGGCCTCTTCCCCTCAAAGCTGCAGCTGGGGAGCTATTCCTCAGCAAAGGCTCAGAGCACAGTGGCTGCAGGTACGAGCTGCGCTGCGTCATCTGGAAAACCGCCAACGTGGACCTGATGCGTGACACCTTGAGTAAAGAGAAAACGAGTGACATCTACATCAAAGGGTGAGGAGAGGAGGGGTTCCCAGCCAGCCTTCCGGTCTCCAGAGCCGTCATCCTGCTTGGTCTCCTAGTCCCGAGGGGCCACCTCTACATGCCCGCTGTGCCTGGTGTCAGCTGGCCTGTGGATCAGGCCTGGATGGGGACAAGACATATGAACCCCAGGTGAAGAGACTCTGGCCGCAGGTGGCTCTACGGGCTGGAGAAGGATGTGCAGAAGACGGACATCCACTACCACTCCGTGACTGGGGAGGCCTACTTCAACTGGCGCTTCATCTTCACCATGGACTACCTGGCGGCGGAGCGCGTGTGCGTCCAGAGCCAGAAGGTGACGGGCCGGAGTTCCCCTCCAGCCCCTCCCTCCGGGGGCCCACAAGACATGCCAGAACAGTGTCCTCAGTGGAACCCCTTCCTTTCTGGGTCCATCCCTGGGTGGCAGGCTGCCAGGGTGTCCCAGGGAACCGCGAGGAGACAGCAGGTCACGTGAGCTCACACCCTCCTCCAGGATTACATCTGGAGCTTGGACCCCACCTCGATGAAGTTCCCAGCGCGGCTCATCATCCAGGTCTGGGACAATGACGTCTTCTCCCCTGATGACTTCATAGGTGAGACCCTGGCACAGGCTTGGGAGCAGGGCAGGGCGCTCCTCCTTGCTATGGCATCTCTCTGGGCTCACAGGGGTCCTGGAGCTGGATTTGTCCGATATGCCGTTGCCGGCCCGCCACGCCAAGCAGTGCACCATCAAGATGATGGAGGCCGACCCCAAGTGGCGCCACTTCCTGCGACACAAGCACTTCTCCCTCTTTACGAAGAGGACTGTAACTGGCTGGTGGCCTTGCCAGGCCTCAGACGGTGGCAAATGGCGCCTGTCGGTAGGAGCTGGGGAAGGTGTCTCTGGATAGGACGGTTACACCACGGAGCCTGGCACTGGCCGGCTTCCGGGGCCCTGAGCTAAACCCTTTCCCGCCTGGCTCTCGGGGAGAGGTGCTGCCGTCTGAATTCCCCTGTGGTGTCCCCAGGGCAAGGTGAAGATGACCCTGGAGATTCTGTCCGAGAAGGAAGCCTCCATCAAGCCAGCCGGGCGAGGCCAGTCAGAACCCAACCAATACCCTACCCTCCAACCTCCCCCGTAAGAGCCAGCGGGGCATGGGTGCCATTGTCTTTCTCCAGTTCGGCTGGGGTGGTGGCCAGTGGGCTCCCGGGACGGGGTGACGCAGCCCCAGCAGGGCAGGCAGGCTCTCGGTTGTGATCGGCTGACCTGAAGGCCCCCCGCCCTCATCATGCCATCTCTCCTGCACACGGACAGCCGCATCTACACCTCTCTCATGTGGCTCCGGTCACCTATTCGATATTTCTGCCACGTTTTCTGGAAACGCTACCGCTTCCAAATCATCCTCCTCTCGGCCATAGCGACTATAGGGCTTATGCTGTTCAATTTCATCTATTCAGCCCCGGTGAGTGGCAGCTGTGGGGACTGGGACAAGGGCACGGCGGCTGTTGGGGTGACTGAGGAGCGTGCCCTCAGACTGCTGGCTAGGCTGACTGTTCTCCACTCTCTCTAGCACTACTTGGCCATGACCTGGGTCAAGCCTGAACTTCGGCTGAATCCTCCCATCAGCATAGTCAATCTCATCACGTCACTCAACACCAGCAATGACAGTTCCACCATCCTCACCACCCAGGATCCGAACCTAAAGTCTACAACACACCAACAGCTGAACTCCTCCCGGAGCACAAGAATCATCTGAGTGATTGTTCCAGAACTTCCAGCCCCGCGGGACTAACTCACGTGCTGCATGCCCGCCTTCCCCTGCCTAGACCAGCTCCACCCTTGGACTGCCCACCGGTTCCTTGTTTCCGTCTCTAGGACACATGTGAGGGGCGAGGGGTGAGGGGCACCCTGGCTACGCTGTTCAGAAAGCCCTTCCGACAAGGACAGCAGAGCTGCAGTTTCCCACTGAAATAAACACGTTCCGTAACAGAGCCATCTTGTAATCTGAGAGGCTGAGAAAGGCTAAAGAAAAAAACTTCAAAGTGGGACCAGCACCTGGTATAATGGCTATGTCGCTGGACTCCCATGTAGTCCACTACAGTTCAAATCCCAGACCCAGTGGCTAAAACTCATGCCGGGTGCGTGTGCATGCGTGCCCAAGATCCCGAGAGTAGAATGGAGAAGGGATTGCGGCATGGCCATCCCCCCTGGGGGGTGATTTCTCACTGTCTCTGTCTGTCTCTGTCTTTCTGGCAAGCGCATGCACCCTATAGCAAAAACCTCTCAAAATAAATAAGCAAATACTTCAAAGTGGGGGCCAACAGGTGGCATGGTGGCTAAGGTGCCACATGGCCAACCAAGATTCGAGCTCTGGACCCAGACACTTGAAAATCACTCCAGGCACATGTGTGTGTGTGCCCAAAGTCCTAGGAGAATGGAGAAGGGACCGGTATGGCCATACCCCTGAGGAGGGTGATTTCTCACTTTCCCTCTCACTGTCTCTCTCTCACCAGCAAGCACATGTGCCCTATGGCAAAACCTTAAAATAAATAAATAAAGCGCTTCAAGGTGAAAAAAAGAGCTACAAGCCCACCCAGTGTCTCCCCTTAAACTTAAAAGGACAGGAGAGACATTGCCTTTCTCAGTTCTCCCTGGTTCTAAGCCAGGCTCTAGTTCGGTCTGTTCTCCGGCAGCCTGGAGCTACTCTGCCACGCAGGGAGGTGCTGGGATTCACTCTGGCCCTGCTGCGCCTTCATCCCACCTGAGGACCGCAGTGCAGCCCGTGGTACTCAGGGAAGCATGTGGACAGATCAAAGGCCTGAGAAGATGGAGATGGACGAGCAGCCATGGTGACCCTCCTCCCTGCGCTGAGATGAGGGCGTTCCAGGGCGGAGCAAGGGTCGACGGGCTTGAGGCTCAGGATAAAGGCCTGATCTTGCCCTAAACCCACCCCTGGAAGGAAGGACACTGAGTCAGAAGCTCAAGTTTGGTTCCATCAGCTATTTTAAGAATTTCCTTTACACTACAGAGCTCAGAGTTCCAGCCGTCCAGGGAGACTCTCAGCCTGCAGCCAGCGTAATCACAGAGCAGACCGGTGGGCAGCACGGGACCCATCAGATAAGGCAGTGGAGTGAGGGCTGACGAGCACAGCACGGAGGCTGTGCCGCCCGGTGGTGACGAACTCTTCCAGGCACAGGTGAGGAGGGTCTGTGGCTCCCAGACTTGCAACATGGCAACGGCAGCCATTGCTTTGCTGCTAAGAAAAAGACACAGGTTTCCTCTTTGGGGAGTATCCAAACCCAGGTTATAAGAACGCTTCCTTATGCTTGCAGCATTCCAAGTGGGATTCCAAAAATCACAACAAACACCAAACATGCACCTAAGCAGGTCCAGCAGGTCACAAAACATCTCCATGTCAGACCCCATGGCAAAGGTTGCTTCAGGGGACCAGCCTGGAGCTGCAGCTAACCCTGCAAATTCGTGAAGTCGTCCAAGCCCCTCTTGAATGTGCGCACTGATTTTCCGCCAAGCCTGACTGGGGGCCTGAAGGCCCTGACAGAAAGGCCACAGACACGCCAAGACTCACGGTGGCGAACAGAGCCTGGGGTGGTGTGCAGGGCAGGAGGGCTGTCCCTAGGGCCACCCAGCAAGGGCCAGTGGAACCTGTTTGCTCTGCAGGCCCAGGCGACACAGTGTCCTTTCTGCTCAGACAACACGCGGCAAGGACAGTGATGGAGGGGTGGGGGACGGTGAGGCAGAGAAGAGGCTTCACCCACATTTCAAAACAAAGTCCCTCAGGTGGGCGGACAGAGGTTCGGGTAAAAAGCGAAAGCCAGTGACGGCATGGCCGATGGTATGAGGCATTATCCGTTTTCTACTCTTTGTAGATTTAAGAAAGAAGAATGAGGGCCCTCTGAGTCCAAACCAGGCAGCAGGCTAGTCTTGCTCTGAGGCTGGCACTGCCAGAGAAGGGCTCTCGCATGCCTCTTCACGCCCGTGCGGGGTGCAGGAAAAGGCACACACAGAGGCATCGCCCTGGGTGGGCGGCTCCTGGACCAGAGTTAATGTCCCATGGGTGGCCGTGGGGACGTGGAGTCCCTGCATTTGAAGCTCCGCTGTCCCTGACCAGCTGCTGGAGGCTGGAGGAGGCCCACCAAGCTGCGTGCTCAGGCTGGCACCTGCTCGCCCCAGACGTCACGGGGGATGGTTGTACGGGTGGTGGCCACAGGAGGGCTCAGTAGAAGCGCTTTCGGCTCTGTTCCTGCCATTTGTTGTAGAGTATGATGCCAATGACAATGGCAAACACGGAGAATACCAGAGAGAAGAAGACGATGAGGAAGAGGGCCAGGCCACTCAGTGGTGGCAGTGGGGCTGTCACTGAGGAAGCAAGAGAGAAGCAAGTCAGAGACGGAGCTTCCCAACGGGAGGACGGGCCAACAGGCTGACTAGCCCCGTTCACGACACCGATCTGGGGACCTGGAGCCCACACACTCCCTCCTAGGTGCCTCAGTGTCCACGTGCAGCAGGAAGACAAGTGGGAAGGTGGTGCGTGGGCACTGGGCTCTTCAGAGAAGAACGCAGCAAGGAGACCCCCCTGCAAGCTGCAGGCACAAGTCAGCTTGGGCCTCACACAGCCCAGCAACCTCCTCCCCAAGCACAAGGCCATCTCCCAGCATCCCCTGCTCACTCTCGGGCAGCTTCATGTTGTCCACCGAGGGCAAGAACACATCTCGATGCAGCTTCTCCTCTTCTGGGGTTCTCTCTACCGTCAGCTCGAACAACTTCAGGGAAATGATGTCATGATTATCTACAGAAGGGAGGAAGGACTACTCAAGCCATCTCAAAAAGCAATATCTTGGGACCAGTTAGTGTAATGGTTATGTCACTGGACTCCCATGTAGGCAACTGGTTTGAGTCCCAGACCCAGTGGCTTAAACTAACACTGGATACGTGTGCGCGCATGCCCGAGATCCCGAGAGAAGAATGAAGGAGAAGGGATTGCGGCATGGACATCCCCCATGGGGGGTGATTTCTCGCTTTCTGTCTCTCTGTTTCTCTCTGTCTTTCTGGTGAGCACACGCGCCCTATAGCAAAAACAAAAAAGAGGTATCTTTGGGGTCAGCAGGTGGCATGGTGGTTAAGGATGCCAGACTCCCACATGGCTGACTGTGGTTCAAGTCCTGGACCTGGTGGCTTATTTTCTCACTTTCTCTCTTTCTCCCTTCCTCTCTGGTTAAATTTAAAGGGGCTAGCAGGTGCTGTGGTAGTTAAGGCACTGGATGCTCCCACATGGCTGGCCACGCATGGTTCGAGGCCCGGACCTGGTAGGGCTTTCTCACTTTCCCTCTTTCTCTCTCTGGGTCTCTCTCTGGTCAAAGTTAAAATGAATGAATAAATAAATAAAATTAAAAAAATAATAATTGAACCCTCCCTATTATTCCATCTAAAAATAAGGATGGGGAACAAGGCATATGCTATATTCTTCTGTATTTAAGTTTTTATCAATAAGTAGGTATTACCTGTATAATTAAAACACTTAGACATACAAGAATTAGGGCCAGCCTGTGGGCATGGTGGTTAAGACACTGGATCCCACATGGCTGACCACACAGTTTGAGTCTTGGACCCAGCAGCTTGAGAAATATCCTGGGGAACCAGCAGTTAGCGTAATGGCTATGTCACTGGACTTCCACGTGGTCGACCGCAGTTCGCGTCCTGGACCCGGTGGCTTGAGGCTCACGCCGGGCGCGTGTGCGTGCGTGCCCAGGATCCCGAGAGGAGAGGGGAGAGGGGATTGCGACGTGACCATTCCCCCTGGGGGGTGATTTCTCGCTTTCTGTCTCTGTGTCTTTCTCTGTCTGTCTGGCGAGCGCACGCGCCCTATAGCAAAAAACCTCTTCAAAAAAAAGGAATATCCTGAACACCTATGCATGTATGCCCAAAATCCTAAAAGGAAAAAGGAATGGAGAGGAGATTACCCGGTGATCATCCCTATAGAGGGTGCTTCCTCAACTTCTCTCTCCCTCTCTGTGAGAGCAAATGCCCTCTGGCAAATTGAAAAAAATAAAATCCTATGCCATATGTAAAACCTTCCAGCACAGTGAGAGGTGACCCAGTGGCGCTGTAGCTTCCTGCAGCAAGGCCTGCACACGCGTGCACCCTCACACAACGCAGGGAAGCTTTCCCTTTCTCTCTTTCTCTCTCGCTCTATCCCTCTCTGGCAAAATAAAATAAGATAATTCTTTAAAAAAAAAAAAGACTTTTTTTTGCCTAGGATTTGAGTGTTCGCCAGAGAGACAGCGAGGGAAAAGAAGAAATCACCCTCTCGCCCCCAGGAGGAATGGCCATGCTAAAATTTCTTCCCCTCCATTCTCCTCTTGGGATTTTAGGCATGCACGTACATACACCCAGAGTGATTTTCAAGCTGTAGGCCTGGACTCGAACTGTAGTCACCCAGGCGGGAATCCAGTGCCTCAACCACCACACCAAACACCAAACAAATGCTGGCCTCTGGGCGTGGGTTTCTATGAGACAGGAATGCAGGATGAAAAGCTCTCGGCACTTTCGTCAAGGCCTGGGTACTGAGAGGAGGCCTCAGGGCAAACAGGGCACCAGTGGCCGTACCTGAGAGGTCCCCAGTGATGGAGGAGGTGCCGAAGTAGTAGCCCCGGGGCAGACGGACCCCGGGCACCTCGATGCAGTCCCTCCACTCGTGCTTGCCATCGATGTCCATCATTATCTGGCATTTACAAAAAAGATCAAAGATGCTTAGGCCATGGGAGCAGGAGCAGGAGCCACACTGCCAACTGGTCCGGGACAGGAACTCACCGTCAGGTGCCTCTTGACGTAGCGAATCACAAGGAAAGTGTCGTAGTGGAGATTGCGGACGATGGCCGTGCAGCCTCCCAGCTCTGTGGGCCGCCCATCCCGCTCATGATCGTAGCTGAGGGAGCCGTTGTTCACCATGGCCGAGATGTAGGGGAACACCCTCTGGGAAGCAGGAAGGGAGAGGCAGACAGTGAGGAAGTGCTCTTGGGAAGCCTGCCCTGCACCTGCAGCAGCAGGGACTGTGCACATAGAAGGCGAGCCGCACAGCAGGCCAGACGACTGCTCTCATCAGGAGCAGCTGCCAAGAACCCGCACCCCAACGGTCACTCAGGAGGGGGGCCAGGGAGCACACGACGACCTCCGCTCTCAGTGACTCTCCTTGCTCTGATCTGGAGCAGGCCTGCCATGGCCCTGTGAGACGCTGGAGTCTGACTCGCATTCCCCCACTGATCAGCATCTGGCCCAATACCAGCGGCTTCCTTTCCACGTACATACACCTATCTCTCCAATGCTTCTTGGAGGAAAAAAAGTCCATTATTAATGAAGTGGTGTCTCCACTTCAGCCCGCCCCCACCCCCACAGGGGCAGTTTGCACACAGCAGGTATTCTGAAAATACCAGCGTGCCTGAGCAGGGGAACCTTTCCATTTAGAATAGCTCCTTTCAAAGTAGAAAATCCCTGAGAGGTGTGATGTGAAATGGATCAGGACCCAGAGAGCACTGCCAGGCCAGCTGCAGGTTGGGCTTCTCCAGCCTCGCTGACTACTCCTAATCAAAAACTTACCAGGGGCCAGGCAGTGGGGCAGCAGTAATGAGACTGGACACACATGGCAAAGGTCCTTGGTTGACACCCCAACACCTCCCTGAGCATGCCAGGTTGGCTGAGATTGAGCATGGATCGAGGCATGGGAAACCTATTGGGAATACCTATCCCTCTGTGTGTATGTGTATGTGTGTGACATAAATCAATAAAATCAATAAACTTAAAAAAAAAAAAAAAGACTTTCTGGCCCATTAAATCCATTTCTGTATAATTTTTTCCCAATGCCAAGAGAATAAGGTTCTTCCAAAGAAGAAAATGGAAAGTTTCCCCATAACTCAATTCTTTTCCCATCTACTCAGAAGCTCTCCTGACCAACCGAAATTCTCCCTTAGAAATGATGAAATAACCATTCCAGAACAAGCCTGGTGCCAAGGCAGTGCAGGGGCAGGGTGATGAGAGGAGAGGGTAACAGAGGCATGCCACTCCTTCAGTAAGCTCCCCGCTGTCCTAGACGGTCACATGCAAGGTGAGATGCAGTCAAGACCAGAGAACGGGGACTCCTGAGACAACAGCCACATGGACTCTCAACAGCACGGATGCCGATGAACACGTGGGCAGAGGAATGGCCATGTGGGGTCAAGAACTGAGTACCTGGACTCCTGGAGAGTACCGCCGCTTCTGGGCCTGCGAGGGTCCAACAGGTTGTTACAGAAGAGAGAGGGCACAGAACACAGGAGACCAAGTCAGAAAGAAACGGCTGTGGAAGTGCTAGGGCCCAGCTGAGGGACGAACAAGGCAACCTAATCCCCTGACGGACGTTACAGTCCAGGAGGGTATGCGGCAAGTCCCTGCATCCCTCAAAAGGATATGCGAAACACGGGCACTTGTACATTTTTCTGAGGGAGGGGATCTGTTACTGGCATCGGGTTCTCAGAGGCACACAGGCAGGCCTCTCTAACCATGGGAGGTCCTGAAGGAGGAGCTTCATCAAACACACAGCAGCGCACTGCCCTGCCAGGCCCCACTGGGCTCTGGGAGTCGGATGCTCAGGCCACGAGCTTTTACCCAGACTACTGTATTTCCACAGCTAGGGGGGAGACAGGAAAGATAAGAGGCTGAAGTCACTTCTTCCAAAGATACCCTTCCTGCCCAGGTCTCAGGGTACCGTGCCCAGAACACTGAAATCCCACCACCAGAGACTATAAAATTAACTGTAATCCACAGAGATCAGACACCCTCTAATTAAGCCTCATGGACATATATTTCCAGATAACTGTTGTCATTCTAACCGCCACACATACACAGGGAAGCAGTTCCGTGGGAGCGCTGCGGCATGACAGATTTAAAGAATCGTCAGTCTCAGGGTACTTAGCTTTGCTCCAGAAAACTACCACAGTTCTAAGATACTAGCAAGAACAGATACCTGCACAGCTCCGCTCAGTCCACCCTCAGGGAAGAGCATGTGGAGGCGCACAGCCCAAAGCATTCATTCCTATAAGACTCAGCGAGCACCTCTTAAAGCCAGCCATTGCTCCAGATGCAGAGGGTCTGGCTGCCAATGAGACAGACTGCTTTGTGCGTGGAGCTGACATCGGAATGGAGGAGACCAACTATAAACAAGTAAAACAATTTCAGGGCTTGTGGCCTAGTGGTTAAGGGAGCCAGATCCCACATGGCAGACCACACAGTTCAAAACCCAGCACTGGAGGCTTCAAAAACACACTGGACATGTGCGCATGTGTGCCCCAAATCCCAACAGCATAGAGAAATGGAGAAGGGATGGTGGCATGACCACACTCTATGAGGGGAAGTTTTCTCCCTCTTTTCCTCTCTGTCTCTCTCTGGTGAGCACAAATACCCTCTGAACAAAGGCCAGTAGGTGGCATGGTGGTTAAGGCACTGGACTCTCACATGGCCAACTGCAGTTCGAGCCTCAGACCTGGCAGCTTGCTTTCTCACTTTCCCTCTCTCTCTCTTTTCAGTCAAATTAAAAATGATAATAATAAAATAAAATAATTCTAAACAAATGAATAAAAATTAAATACATAAAAATTTCATAGGCCTACCCACAGTGGCGCAGGCAGCAGGGTTGTTTGCTATGCGATGCCTGAGGCCATATGGGAAGCTCCAGGTTTGCACGCATGGGCACACTCATGACCCTGGCTGGTTACAGGGCTGGGGGCAGGATGGCGGCACGAAGATGCTGCTGGGACTGCCCCTCTCTCTCTCTCATGTGAAGAAAATATACTTCAAGGAGTGTTAAATGCTATGACGAAAATCAAATAGGTCATATGACAGAGGTGAATAAGGGAAACTTTCCCTAAGGATGCGACACCTAGGCCGAGACCCACATAATTAGAAGAGGCCCGCCAAAAGATCTGGGGGCATCCGAGGCCCAGAGCTGGCATTTTCAAGGAGCTGGAAAAAGATAGGCGGGTCTGAACCCAGCTAACGCCTGCGGTAGCCTCACAGTGTCTGCCCGGCTGTTCTCTTCAGCCGCTGGCAGGATACACACGGGATGGAGAAAGGAATGAAATCATCCTCAGATGATTAAACTGCCATAAAATTACTCTTACACAGCGATCACTTTGCAAGGGAACCGTGGGCAAGTGATCAAGCAGTTCATAGAAGAGGGCTTCTGAGAGAAAGCTCCTGATTTCACTGAACATTTATGGAGGGATTAGGAATGTGCTGGGGAACTCTAATGCCTCCCGGACTTGCCTCATTTACCACCGTCAATACCCCCACAGACGTTTATGTTGCAATTTTAAAGAGCCTGCTTAGGACAGCAACCCTTAGCCACCTGGCCTCACTCTCTCCAAGGCCGGTGTGGCACTGGATCACCCTGTAACAGCTGGAGGGAAGCTGGGCCTCGGGACCCCTGGGACAGCATTTCAACTGCACACCATGCAGGTCCCTCAGTCAGAGTGCGAGTCAGTGGGTCTACAGTGGAATGGAGGATGATGTATTTTTTTTTTTTAAGTACCATGGAAGACTCTGATGTACAGCCAGATTAAAAAATACTGCGTTAGAGGGACCAGCACATGGAGTAATGGTTATGTCGCTGGACTCCCATGGTTTGAGTTCCAGACACTGGCTTAAAACTCATGCCGGGCACATGTGCATGCATGCCCAAAATCCCGAGAGAAGAATGGAGAAGAAAGGATTGTGGCATGGTCATTCCCCCCCCCCCCGGGGAATGATTTCTCACTTGCTGTCTCTCTGGTGAGTGCATGTGCCCTATAACAAAAAATCCCTCTCTAAAAAAAAAAAAAGAATACTGCACTAGACACAGAGCCCCATAGCTTTGTAGCTGAAATGTGTCTACCTTAGCAAGTCATGGCTTGGCCTTCAACTTTTCACCTCGTGTTAGCAGTAAGTTGTTTAATGTCATCCTATTTTCTACCCTTAGCCAAAAGGTTTGTTTTTTGTTTGGTTGGTTTATTTTTTTTCATTTGTTTTAAGGGTTTCTGTTTTTTTTTTTTTTTTTTTTTTTTTGGGGGTTTTTACACTGCGGGCGCTGTG